CCTGGTACCCATTTCTGTTCTTACCTAAAATAGAGTTTTGGAGGATATGGGTTGAAACAGATTGCACTGTCCGTTTTCCTATTTTTTGGGGGGGAGGGGGCGTTGAACTTGGAAACCAGGTATCAAATGTTCGAGTCATAATTGAACAGTGAGAAGGTTTTCGATGATTCCGAACCCCGTTTATGCCCCCCTCACTGAGCAAGGATTATTTGCAGAACAATATGACGAATTAATTGACGTTTCATCAGATATGAGTTCGAAAGATACATACACGAAGTCCTTATGAATAACTTTCCGGCTCTCATGAAGGAGTTTCCACTCATTTCAAGCTTATCTGTGGAGAAGCTTGCTTGCGTTTCCATGTACATATCTATGCGAAACAGCGATCGCAAGATATGGGCCAATAAAATGATGTAGCGAAATAGGCTTAATGCATAACGCGAAGTGGGGTTGCAGCATTTCAAAATTGTGTGTAGCTTTAATGCTCGTGTGGCCAGCAAACACGTCCACATGTTGCATCAGGGATCCTCCCTGCATATACCTCTCTCTATGGCTCTGCAGCCCCTTGTTTGACCTTGGACGGGGGATCGGCCCGTCGCAAGGCAGCTGCCTACTTACAGAACAAAACAAAGACAGAAAAAACGCACGCAGACAGCCATGCCTCGAGTGGGATTGGAACACACAACCCGAGTGTGCCAGCGGTCGAAGACGGTTCATGCCTTAGACCGCGCGGTCACGAGATCTAGAAGTTTCTGACTGTGATACATTAATTCAATTATTGTGTTTTGGGGCATTAGCTGTCTTTTTTTTTTTTAACGCAACGTTTTGGGGACTTGATTCTGTCTCCGTCTTTAGGTAAGAAACTACCCAGATGGGCCCAGTCACTGTGTCTGGAGACAGATAATGTCCGTAGATACAGAAATTGTATTAAGTTTTTCTAGGGATCCTCGTAATTATTATGTAACCATAAGGGGTCCTCCAGCAGTAAAGCGTATGAGAAGCACCGAGTGAAGTGAAAGAATTATGACGACTTTTTGAACGACACAGCTAATGGAGTAGTCCAGACCTGTTAATGTACTTATGTGACTCAGTAACAGGAGTTTTTTTATATAAATCGTATAACATGAATATGATCTCGTGACAAGTTGAGAATCTTGCCGTATCTGTTGGTAATAAGCATTCGAAATTATGCCAAAACTAACGAGGTTCGCAATGTCACTAACAGATCACTTATGAAATACCTACAATTTTTCAAAGTAGGAATTCTGTCCTGTTGTATTTGTAAAGCTTTACACGCATATCAACATCGGGGAAGGAGTGACTGGCTCGGAGTGAATATCTTTTAAAATTTGTGATAAGAAACTGATGGGAATTGTGGCAGTATTCACATGCACGTAGCAGTGCACAGACCTTAAACACTGAACTGCGGTTTCAGTGAAGACCGCTCTTCAACTGACCTGTTGTTGTACTTCTTTTGAAAGCGTTACGAGTGAAGGTGATAAGCGCACAGCACACGCGGAACAAACACGAAGGGCTAATGCATGCTTTAGCACAGATACAGTGCAGTATGAAATTTGTATACAGTTATGAGCAGTAAATTCCTTGTCCAGCCCTAGACAGGCCTTTAGGTTGAGTTATTCTTGTTCTGTGACGAATTGGTAGCGGCTAAAAGAAATGGACATAAACAGGTAAGCGACCTTTAAGGCGATTCTAAATTTGAATTACATTTGGTTAGTATAACTGGTTGAGTGTGAAGGGAACTAACACTGTGGTTTATTTCCCTTTTTGGAAGTGGTAAACGTTGACGCAGTTTTTAACCGTCGAAAGGAGGCCAGCAGTGGGCCACATCTGTCTTCGCGGTGACAAGTTAGTTGCACGTAGCAAGAAATTGCCAATCCGAAACCGAGTGTTTACCGTCACGCAGTACATTGAGCTGCATGTTTGAGGTAACCGGCCCTCACACGAACGGGGACGTGCTGCCCCGTCGGGTTATTTGTACTTTTCCTGATTTCCTGAGAGCAGCGTTATGGTCGAGCGAGGGCGGCGGCCTGATGCTTTTCAGAGCACCGAGTCATGTCAGACATAGGCGACTGTTTATTGTAAGGCCCTTGAGAGGCTTAGTTAGTTAGTTAGTTATTAGAGAGGGTGGGTTTCCCCATTCACTTAGACCTGTAGTGGTCCATTGTGCTTCCCTCTATGATTTCTACCAGCCTCTATATCCTACCGGTATTGGTGCTTACCATCAGTCCCGCCCAGCCAGCGAGACCGGCTCTACTGGCTGAGAAGTATCTATAATGCTTCCCCAATCTACCGGAGGTATTAGTGACTGCTGTTGGGCGGGAAACGTCCGCAATTTTGGCTCAGTGACCTCCTTTGGAGGTATGAGGTTCTTTTACGTGCCGTAAAGCTACGACACGGGACCCACGGCTTAAAGTCCCTCCCGGAGGACTTGTTCCCTGAATTTTTCCGCCCTTAAAAATTCGACGACCTCCGCCGGGTATTTGAACCCGCGTACTACGAGTCATGAGGTGGGAACGTTACCTCTAGACTACGGAGGCCGCTTTGAGAGGCTTAAGGTTCACTCCTTTGCCCTACAGAGCCAGTTGGCTCAGCGGTGCTCTTCTAGCTTGTATTCAGGAGGTGCTAGGTTGGAATCAGCCCAAATGCAGACTATCCTGTATGAGATTATTCGTGGTTTTCTTAAGTCCCTTCATATAAATGCCGTCATAGTGCATTAAATTGGATTAACACAGCTTTCTTGCACGTCCTTTCAACTTCATTATTGACCATCGAACCATTCGATGCTATATACTGACAACGCCGTTAAATAAACTACGTGCTTCTACTGATGGACGCAGTAGGTTTCTCCGAAATGTCGGTGCCTACCTATCAAACTGAGCGGCCTTACGTCCCAGAAGACCATGATCATAATTCTGTTAATTGGTTTCTTTAAAATATATACACGGAAGGAATTTTTTAGAAGTGTACATGGAAAGTATGAGAATTTAGGGTTGACTTCCTACCTGTCTGTTTGAGGCGGAAATGTCAGTTCTTTTTTTAGTGTGCGCATTTCGTGAGCGGTTTATTGTTTGGTTCTGCGTTTGAAAGTGCAAGGTTGTTGTTAAGTAACAGCGAAATGGGCATCGTGCCATAATTCATGCCCGTTTCTTTCAACCTGGACTAGTTTTGAGGACTACGCCTCAGTCTCTTAGAAATCCTACAAATAAACTTAACGATCTTACGACCTCTTACATTTACGTCGATTCACCAATCTTAAGTATTCTGTCTTTTCTTCCTTAACATTGTGTCGTGGGAGTCGCGTAGGTTGGGACATGCGAAATCTCGCAGATAACGAGATTGTAGTTATGGTGCTGTATTAAATCTTGTTCTGAACTGCAGTGATCTGTTTCCATCCGTTTCCCTCCCTGTACGTGAATTCCGGCATTGTTTCCAAATTTCGAAGCTGGCAGAAGTGATCCCGTGAGGTGATTATTTAATGTAAGGAGGAGAAAAAAGAAGTGATAGGGGAGGATATCGGGCTAGTAAGCGAGGTGTTCCCGGTCCACCATTCTTGGAAAGGGGAAGCCCCGTGACAGGGTCCGTTTTCATGGAGCAGGATGCACCCCTTATCTGGCAACAATTGTGGCCGGCGGCCGGAAAGTCCTCACTCTGTACTGTTTCAAAACTCAGAGAAGAAACCTCCCGTTGATAGTCTGACTCACGGCGTGCTGGCCTTTTGCAGCCAGAGGAACAAGTCAGCTTACTCTGACATCTGTGCTTGCTTTTGAGGGGCTGATCCTACAGATCCAGAGGTCCGGATTCGATTCCCGGCTCTACCCGATTTTCTGAGAAGTAGTGGGTCTGGAACGGGGTCCACTCAGCCTCGTGAGGATAATTGAGGAGCAAGTTCAAGTAAATAGCGGTTCCGGTCTAGAAAACCGAAATTAACGGCCGTGGGGATTCGTTGCGCTGGCCACGTCACGCCCGCTATCCGAAAAGTTGGCACTAACTTCGCCGACAAGCGGCGGTTGCTCGGTCGATATAGTTCGCTTGCGAACTACAGGCCACGGAGTTTCTTTTCGTTTTTTCTTTTTATGTACTACCTCTTTTAAATAGTTATTGGCGGTCTTGGAATTGAAGTAGACCCATGTGTGAATGAAACTGCTTGTAGATGCTGAGGCTTATCTTAAATAAAACTTCGGAAGAATTTCTATCTTATCTTTCGTAGCTAAACCATTGTGTATGATGGAGCCACTTGGAATTGCCTATGTATTTATTTCTACTTTCCTGCACGAGGATGCGCCGATGCCCTCCAGCCTGGATTATCTGCTGCGTGTGTGCTAGATCTGTGTATGATAGTGCGAGTGTCCTTCCAATTCCAATAGCCCAGTCGGTGGAAAGATGTATTCCTCTCCACAGCGTCCAGACCGCCTGCGTGGGCCCCAAGCCCACCCAACTTCCCATCCATTGGGTACCGGGGGCTTTTACCTCGAGGATAAACCGGCCGGGATGTGAAACTGACCGAACACACATAACGTAATGTCAAGGTTAAGATTGCGCGGAGTTGTGCATCCACTCCCCCATACGTCGGCATAGTGTGGTACATAAAGAAGCAGGACAACCGTACCGTTACCTTCCTGTTTTCTTACACGATTAGTCTAGCCTGAAGTTGCATTTAGGCGTGGACTGACCTAAGCGTTATAAAGGCCGTGCCATAGCTCAGACGATTAGTCGCTGGCGGCCCGGGTTCGAACCCATGTCAGGTCATATGGGATCTGTGGTGGACAGAATGGCGCTGGGCAGGTTTTCTCCGAGTACTTTGGTTTCCCCTGCCAGTTCTCATTCCACCAACTTCTCCACACTCATCGTCCAGGGCTGGTACAATAGACCAGTTGATGGCCGACGTACAAAGTGTACTCAGTCTCACCTCACCTCAAGAAACTTAAAAAAAAAGGAAACCCTTATAAAGATTGTAATTGTAACATTTTCGTTTGTTACAGGCAAGTCAATATGGCAGTTGGTTTTGGAGCAATTCGACGATCTGTTAGTGAAGATCTTATTGTTAGCAGCTATCATCTCATTCGTAAGTATACAGTAAGGCATTATTTTCCTCTGTAATGCACGCCTGAAGTCTCTGAAGACGGGCGTATTGACGTACTTACATCAGTGCAGCTAGGCATGTTTCTATAACCGTGAGTTAATGCTGATTTCAGTGTCAGCCAACTCTTAGCAGGGACAGGTGTGTATCAGTGTAAACTCGCCTCCTACAAGGATGGGCGAGGCCGATTTTGTGAATTGGGTATGTAGCATTGAAGACATGAAGAAGTAGAATACAGCCCCGGTATTCAAGCGGCCACACAGACTAAGATGCATACGATCTTGGTTACACCTCGTTACATGTATATCCGCGTTTCTTCTTGTGTAAATACACGTCTTAACAGCAGGCCAATAACCCTGCCAAAATTCGGAACCGGGAGTAGCCCGGAGGGCCTAATCTATGAAGGCCGAAGGAGATGAGTCTTGTTGGCTTTTTGGAGGTGTTTTGCTACACGTATTTTTGTATTTGGGACGTAAATGTCAGAAGAGCACTCAGTCAGTTGGGCGCTCGAGGTTTCCTCTCACTCCTAAAACATCTGGGGATGTTATTTTAAAATAAGCCACGGCTGATTCGTGTGCTTGAGATGAACATTTTGATAAGCCCCGCTTGACAAATGATGTCAGCATAACAACACAAGTCTGGTTCGGAAACTTGAGTGTTCGGCCATGATATTATGTGTAAAAAAAAAGCATAACGGAGGATAGCACAGAACGTAAATTACAGATGCTAATGGCACTGTTATGGTCGCAGAAAGGATCCAAGCCTCAGGTAGGTCTGTCATTAAGTTGGCTCATCATAGGCAAAATTGAACAATTTCAAGCGAAGGATGTACGATTACAGCACTGTGAGAGGACGGCTGACGAGTCGATTTGCTGAAATTCTCAAACTAGAGGGGACACGAGGTAGCGTACTTGGTTGAGGCACTATGCTACGAGCCGGAAGGTCGCGGGGTTGAGTCCCGATGAGGTCATTGGATTTTTCAATTGGCATAATCCTTCCAGCCGCGCTATAGCCCTGAGGTCGACTAAGCGTCGAACAGAAATGAGTACCAGGAATCTTGCTGGGGTGTAAAGGGCGGCCGGCGCATAAGGCCGAGAACCTCACAGACATCTGTGAGCCGTTTATCTAGAAAATATGGGAGCGTCGACCTCTCACCACCCTATGGGCCTTCGCGGCCTGTTACAGGGGTCGCTTTACCTTTTTTTACCCCAAACTGAAGCTCGTTTTACTTCTATACAGTTGAAACTTTAAACGCCGTTCTTAGAAGTTTCCCAGTTACTGCGTGAGACGTAATTAAAATCGTACGGACGGAATTTGTATTCTCTTCCCCACACAGAACTTCCCGTTATGCAGTGCAGTATGTCAGACCTACTCAGATATGTTATCGCTTCAGCTTTACCAGGAGTCGCAAAACTATCTGCTGTGTTATTAACCGTTTCAACAATCGGCGTGTCTGTCTGTCGATCGATCATCCTATGCTTTGAAGAGGGCCACACTCGCCTCGCAGCACGCAGGCTCAGGAGGGATTCGCTAACTTACCATTAATGGCAGTTGAGAAGAAAAGTTCTTCAAGACACAGAAAACCGTCCGAACTTGTGCATCTTTGCCAGATATTTCCACTGAAAAGAAAGTCGTCACGTGGAACTAACGTGCAAGGTGTAATAGAAAGGAACGCTCAGACGTCGCTAACCATTTTTGTCAGTTCACTTTTCCTTCCCCTTTATTCTCTAACTTAAGCATTTTTGGTTGAGATTTGTATAGTTGCCCGAAGATGTACGAGGCGTATTCACTTTTCACGACCTTCCTGTGCCTCATGGTTCGGCTGACAGTTTTGTTAAAGTCGCGTTCCGCCACCGCAGCAAACAGAGCGGCGCTATATAGCCTGCGAACAAATAAATACTTGCACGTCTAATTTTAGCTGTAACACTTTTCCAGACTTTCGTAAATATTACGAACTCTGCATTTAGAAAACCAACTACGAAATGAAACTCAGTATTTGACAACATTGATCTGTTCGGTGCATTCATGTTGGATCAACAGTGGAACCTGGCCACGAAATCATGAGGTTTCTCGTGGTTTTCTTTGGCTCTGCCAGTAAAATTATGTGGCGGTAACTTAAAATTGGCCCCTTGCAGAACATACCGTGCTCTATATATCCATCCTCAGGCTAGAACTGACCTCTCCTTCGTGAGTTAACCTGATTCGATTATGGGGCTGGATGCCGGCTGTATGCAGCTGTTTTCGTGGCCTTCATGACCGCCGCCGTAGGCGCTTTTCTTGGAAAGAGCAGTGATAATGTAGTTCAGTTGAATTCCTTGTCTTTATGTGGACACTGAGCAGCTGAAGCACTACCTAATGAAGAAAAGGGAAACGTAATCGTCCCTATTAGGCTGAAGAACTTTGTGCCACGAGAAAATAATCGTACTGAAGGAAGTACAGTTTAGAGTCAAGGAAAACGCCGACGATGATGATGATGCTGACGACGACGATGTTTGCATCCGGGTTCGGCGTATGTAAACATATATTGTTTGAAATCCTTCCAGTCGATCGTCTTACGTCATGTATTTGCATGTGGAAGGGAGGGTTTGTGGCCCGGAACTAGGGGCGGTGTGATTATGAGTGCTCGGTGAGTCGTTAGAAGCGTGGAAGGAATGATCTGGAGGGATGCAGGAGAATAACAGGCAGCCTGACTACCCACCTCATGCTGGTTGGGCGCGATTCCACATATCATATCCCTTGTCATCACTTCCCCAGTTCGCGTTTCTGCAGTGTGACGGCCTCCAGAACATATCAGTTCGGGGTTACTGATTCACAAGGTTGCGGAGCGACCCTGTTCATAGGAGCACAGCTTCACGCGTTACACTCTAGTATGGCGATAATTTGATTTGTAGTTCGTGTTACTGTTGACATCAGCTGCTCCTCTACTACTACTACTACTACTTAAGTAGTACTAGTAGTAGTAGTAGTAGTAGTAGTACTGGTGGTGGCAATAGCAGCAGCACAGTTATACTGTCCCACCACCGTTATCGTTGGGACCAGGCGACAAAAGACGGAATACCCATCGTCCTGTGTTTATTTTTCAAAACACTGCATTTCGGAGATTTGATTCTGTCTCCGTTTTCAGGTAAAAGAGAGGACGATGGATAATCTCCAGAAACATAATATACCGTCGTCACAAACTTTTAGAACTTACTTACTGAAATACCGTTTGGCTCCGACAGCGCACCTGTGGCGTAGTCAGTTTGCACCAGATGCGCTTCTCTGAAGATAGTCTTGCAGGAGGACTGCTCATGACGACGACGATTGTAAATTAGAAGGTGATGCGTAGCGGATCAGGCCTGGCGGCCGATAGATTCTGTATTTGTGAAGGCCAACCTTTCATCCTCTCTCTGAGAGAGCGTAAAAACAGGCGGGGAGAACGAGCGAGCATCTCGAATATAACATTTCATTGAAATGAGTCAAACGGTTCTCAAGGCATGAGATGACACGGCATGACAATCCCTGCTGTTTAATTAAATCGAAGAACTCAAGGCATATGGGTAACGTTTCGAGAGAACAAGTAGAAATCACAAGGTGACAAACTGGAAGCACGGGCATGCACTCTTTCTCCAGAAATTCAGGAACTGACAGTGCAGTGTGTGCGGGCGCGTTGGCCTGGTGAAGAAGCTGACGGATCCACTCGTCTGCAATTTCCATTCCATTCGCATCGCCCTCCAGGGCTCATTCACTGTGACACCAAGAGATACAAATTCTTTACGAACTACACAGCGAGATTCGAAACAAAATGATGACATTGCCTTGATTTTGTATTTGCTCATGTTTTGGAGACTGGCGTGTGCCGCTCCTCACTCTGCCTCTTGGTTCCCTGGTTCAGTTTCGAGCCGTTCCAGCATTTCTACTGACACTTCGTTTCAACGAACTTTCTGATCCTCATTCCGGTTTCTTGGAACCGTCTTTGCACACGCTGTTCTCGTGTTCAGCTCTAGTGCAACCGCTTGCTGGGCCCTGCAGTCCTTAATCATTCCAATTGTCAAACGTCCATCTTGACGAATGGTAGCCCTCAGAGGCCGAGGTTTGTGCCTGTTCTCATGGAGACTGGGTGTCCACATCGCCGTTTACAAAGTCCCTGTGCCACCGAAATATTTGAGCACGTTACGAAACGCTTTGCGAATCTTTTCGTACGTGTCGGTAGCGCCGTCCCGCAGCTTGACACGTCGCTTGAGATTGTTATTCTCCGTTTCTGTGGCGCTGTATCAGACACAACAGGGCCACACGTGTTCGTGCCAGCAGTTCGAACTTGGACTGAAGGTAGAAGAGGGAAGTTGACAAATTTTAGGAGAATCGCCGTTTGCAAACTTGAGCAGGATTCCCTGGTGTTATATAGCTAAGTTTATTAGTCTCGAAACCAGTGCATAACATTTCACAGCCCCTACTCATCAACCAGCCAGATAACTCTTATAGGCTACGGCCAGCTGCTTTAATATGGTTTTGCCAGCGCCTTCTCTGTGATGTAATTGAGATCTGGTTCGAATTCTGCTAAGATAATATTTATTGTTCCTAGGGCTTCAGTCTTATCTTTCGCCTTCCTCTTTCACATGTAATCGAATTATGACTCCGTAACCTTTCTTTTCTGGAAACTTACCGAATATCGGCGACAGAGAGCGTTCCGACCAGATGTTAGCGGATTGAAGTCGTTAGGAATTCGAACTGGGATTGAGAGTGGCTACATATGTTCCTACAGTATTCGTTCTATTCAGACTGGTTATGCCAGTGTCTGCGATTGAATAAGAATTTCATCAGGGGACTAGAATAGTTGAGATTCATCCAAATTTGAAAGAATGCTTGCAAACGATCACAGAATAACTATTCAGTCCGTCATGTGTTCTCTCCATATTTGACGTTAATTCTGCTCTTGTTTGCATCCTGTTCCGATCTGGAAAATTCTATTTGTGTGCCGTGGTTCTGTGGTGCGTTCACTTACGTCA